TGCCAGCTGGCCACAGTGAACACACTATCACTGTCACCTGTGCCCTCGGCTGGTGGAGGTCCCGTTTGAGGGGGCCTAAGGATTGTAAAGTAGGCGTTAACTTGTCTGTCTGGAAAACATGGTGGCTTTCGTCTTTCATAAGAGACCTTTAAGTGTTGTAGGGAATACTGCTCCTGTAGGTCTCAGACGACTGCGCGGGGTCCCCAAAAGGAAGTGACGTTGGGCGATTCGGGAAAGCTTGCTAGAGAGATTGTCATTTCTGTACAACCGAAGGGCCGTGACCCCTACCGTGGGCGTCATCTAGTTAGAAAAGCTGGTACAAACTTGCGCCCGTCTTCAGCTAAAATGCTCAGTGGTACCCTCTTGTCTCTGGGAGCATTTGGGTCCACGTCAGTTCACGACCACAGCTGTCGCGGTGACACATCGTTCCAGACTGTGTCTTTGCAGACCAAGGTGTGGCCTGCATAACGGCTCATTCATCCTGCCTGGATAAGCACTTCGGACCAAGCGGGAGGGTTAATACCAAAACGTGAGGAGGACCGCTGGCCTCCTAAGGTCCATCGTCACTGGCCGGGAGCGGGACCCGAAGGGCACAGCGGAGGTCAGTCCTGCAGGCTGGCCGAATTCTGATGCGTAGGGTCCCGTTCCGAGGAGCTTTAGTTCAGCGCCGCATGAAATGCAGTGCACTGATTTGGGTGCAGCTAAATGGCAGAATTTAACAAGGACGGCAGAAGAGGGCGTGTGCTCGAGTCCGCATCTATCAGAATGTGCCGAGGCTGCGCCTCCTCTCCAGGAGAGACCACGCGCACACACACAGAAACCTGATTCCAAAGGGTTAACCGCAAAGTGGAATCGGTATATACACAACGGCACGTTTGTTCCCTGTAAGTACAATTCTGGCTCTTCATGCGTTAAAATCACTCAGTTCAAGTTTGGGGAACCAGCTGTCTTTGTGTATCATATGATCTGAATGCTCTTGAAATGTTTGCATACTTTTGGTATTTTCTTGAAATGTTTGTACGGCTTTGGTGACTCTGTTCTCTTATCGTATATCAAGAAATCCCTTTTCTATGATAAAGACTTTTTGTTTAAATGTACTCTGGCTAAATGATATCTGGACATTTTCTTTCACATACCAAAGTATCATAAATTCTCAATAGCCAAATTGCCAGGCGGCTTCATATTTTGTTCTCGGTTTTAACGGTTCAAAGGAAAGAGTCAATTTCCTATAAAGAATACATTTAATGTCCTTACCACTGATAATGATCTTTCTTATTCAGTCTTTAGTAGAGGAAAAAAATACAACCAGGACACATGTCACTTTAAGGATGACAAAAGTAATAAAGCTGATTACGAAGATTCGAACAGAAGAAATAGAGTAAAAAAGTCTTTCTTCACTCGCACTCCAGCCTTCTCTCTCCTCCCCTGCAAAGTTCGTCTCCTCAACACGGAAATATAGATAATTTGCTGATGTATGTTTTCCTTTTGCTGCCATGTGCCCTGTCCCAGGTAAGAAAGTACCTTGGCTATTTCAGCTCCCTTAGGAAACGTTTATGTGGTTAAAGCAGCATATGGGGTTGAACCGTAACATGACGATGGCTATGGTTTCCTTAGGAGGATTAAAGCTTAAAGCTGGTGCTCCCAGCCTTAGCAACGATTCTTCAGGTTTTAGCAGACCACACACGCATGGACACCAAGCACCTCGAAATAAGTGAGTGAGAACTGGACACTGCAGGGCCTTCCCTGGATATGCTGCCTTGAGTAAGGGGGCCTAGATCTTGCATGATTTGGAATGAAGAAAAAGAGCTCAAAAAAGAGTGAAGATCCTATCAGCCCAACGGGTAGGGGACCGGAGCTGGATTGGAGATTACGTACATAAAATATTTAGACATATATTCCATGCATAGGTCAGTTTATGGAGACTTATAACCATTATGTGCGCAGATCTCTCCATCTCTGGCAAAGCTGTGCTAGTAATACCTTGAATTTGTTTAACTTTACATTCCATTAAAGGCTTTTACATATGCTGTATAACTTGATCCTCACACAACTTCACAAAAGAGTACACTGTGGCAGAGGTTGAGATTTATCCCAGAATACATGATTATTAAGTGACAGGACAAGCATTCGTAAAAAAAAAAAAAAAAAAAAAAAATCTGGATTCCTTTCCTTTATACTATATTTGGTATGTATACATTCAACACTTATAGGCCTGACACCCTCATCTATAACACACATATACGTTACTCTTAGGGCAAATTGCAGTCATAAAGGTTTTAAACATGAGTGATCCATGTATATTTAAGCCAATGCATTTAAAATTTCAAGAAGTTGAAGGTCATTAAAAGCTTAAGATAATTAAAACACTGCATGAACTGAGTCGTTTTTGGATTTTATTAGTGAAATTCTGTCTCTTCTTTCTTCCTCCCTGCCTCCTTCTTTCCCTCTCTCCGTCCCTCCCTCTCCAAATTTAGAGTTTATAACTTTAAACAAAAGAGGAATGATGGGGCTTCTGCTTACAACCAAGGTAACCAAGATGGGGTAACAGGGACCAGATTTATTCTTTGACCCGAAACCAACAAGCTGGACCACATAACATGTTTTCCAATAACGGACAGCGGCGGCCCAGGACGGTCATCCCTCAGGAAGGAGAAACAAACGAGGTGAGATCTACAAATGGCCAGCTCACTGTGTGAAGGGAGTTTCCAGGCTGCATTGTGGGAACGGAGACCCAGATGTGGGGACACTGGACTGGGTGCCCAGAGAGAGCTGCAGTGGCCCCCTCGGCCTCAGCAAAGTGCTAATCAGCAGATGAGTGGGGGGTAACGCACGAGCCACCCACAAAGAGCGGGAGGAACGGTCGCTGGGGGTCACAGAGGGCTTGGAGGAGTGTGTGCGCCCACGAGCCAGACAGTCAAACCTCGCCGTCCAGCGAGTATCAGCCAGAGGACTCAGAGATGCACGGCTTGTGTCGGGGGCAAAATTGGTCCTGACGCAAATGCTGTCCTGGTGCCGCCTCAGGAGGGGGCAGGCGTCGGAGAGCGTTAGCGTAATTACAGGGAAAAAACCACAACCCTCTCAACCTAGAATCCTACGTATCTTTCAAATCTAAGGGCGGAATAATGCTTTGTTAGACATGCAAAAGCTGAAAGAATTTAACAGCAGCAGACACCTGCACGATCGTAAATGTGAAAGCGATTCGGGCAGAAGGAAAATGATACCACATGGAAATCAGAAACTACATCAGGACTGAAGAGCACTGGAAAAAGTAAATACATGGAGAAGTACAAAAGACTTCACGGTGACTTTAAAAAGGAGTAAAGACATTGCAGGACGTAAACGATCTGATTTCAAGACTTACTGTAATGCTACCGTGGTCAAGTCAGGGTGGCATTAGCATAAAGACAGATAAATAGATCCACAAGACATAATGGAGTCCAGAAATTAACCTACATGTGCGTGAACAGCTGGACTTCCAGCGACACTGCAAGGGCGATTCAGTGGACAAAGGACAGTCTGTTCAGTGAAGGATGCTGATTTGCAAAACGTGAACCTTGACACTCACTCCCACCATATCCAAAAATTTACTCGAAACTGATCATAGACTAAATATAAGATCTAAAGCTCCGCGACTAGGAAAAAAAACATAGGAGAAAAATCTCAGCGATTTTGGCTTTCTTACGCTTTCTGAAATACGACATCAAAAGCACAAAAACATAAATAAAAATGAATAAACAGGACTTCATCAAATTAAAAGCTTTTGCTCTTTGAATTACATTGGAAAAAATAAAAAACTGATCATAGACTAAATATAAGATCTAAAGCTCCGCGACTAGGAAAAAAAACATAGGAGAAAAATCTCAGCGATTTTGGCTTTCTTACGCTTTCTGAAATACGACATCAAAAGCACAAAAACATAAATAAAAATGAATAAACAGGACTTCATCAAATTAAAAGCTTTTGCTCTTTGAATTACATTGGAAAAAATAAAAACGCAAGCCAAAGAAAAAAAAAACATAAATAAAAATGAATAAACAGGACTTCATCAAATTAAAAAACCATTTGCAAAATATCTAACGATTCGTATCTACCATCCAGAAAAAACTCTAACGATGCAACGAGACAAACAGCCTGAGAAAAACGGGCAAAAGATTTGAATAGAGAAACCATCAAAGAATTTAGACAGATCGCAAATACGCATACAAAAATTGCTGAAAATCGTTCATCATTAGGAAAATGCAAAAGAAAAAAAAACCACAATGTGATGCCACTCTCCGCACACCAGAATGAATAGAATTGAAAAGACTGGCCATACCACGTGTCGGACAAGGATCTGCAGCACAGCGGGCGTTCTAGGACTAGTGCCGGGCGGCGAGCTGGTGTGGCCGACAGCTCCACCGAGCAGCGGGAGGCCTGGACGCCAATCACGGCTCTCGAGGCTCCGGGCAAGTCTTTCGTCCTCTAGCCCTATTGTCGAATACCAATAACAATTACTCAGTCTACTGCACCAAGCTCTTAGGAGGATCAACGGAGATAATGTGAGATCGCTTTACGGACCTGGAGTATCAATGTTATTCTGTCGAAAACGACACAACCACGGGTAGCTTTGCAAAGGTAATTTAAACAAAGTGGCGGGAAAGATATAAGAATACCATGATTAGTCTTTTCATGTTTTCTCTTTGCCCTTATTTAAACGAGTGGGAACTAATTTTTAAATGCAAATGTTTAATTACTTACAAGGTCTAGAAATATTTACGAAAATGTATTTCAAAATAATATAGAGCTATCTGTCTACACTAATGTTTACCATTAATAAGATTATACTACTCTCCACGGTGCTGAGCATTTTAATAACTAATAAATAAGTCAGCAAACTGATGATATTTCTTAATATTTTAATTATCAGTGATAAATTTATGATTTGACAGCCAAGGTCACTTTTCACAAAGACATTACATCTACATCGACAAATCAATCTTGATTCATTCATTTTGCCTTACCGTTTCTCCTGGAAGCTTCGTGAGAATCCACGACTTCAGTTTTTCGAGCTCACCTTTGCTTAGCTCATGGTGAAGACCGGGGAAACTGTGAAACTTCGTGCTCACTCCTAGAGATTTCAACGCTGAGTTTGTCTCTTCAGCCCAAGCGTGAAGAACTAACTCATCGGCAGTGCCATGACACTGAAATAATTCGGGGAGCACTCCATCACTTTTCTGGACACCCTAGAAATGAGGATATATAAACGGAAAAGCTTAAGAAGTTCACTGAAGAACATCGTTCTTGGAAATCAGAGAAAACAAGAAGATTCCAATTTTACCAAAGCTTCAACATTTAAAGAGAAACAAAGAGGCATTGGTGGGCCAGGCCTGGGCGCAGCTAGCTGCTGGCACCACCTGAGCTGTGTTGTATGTGGCCTGCATTTACTCCGGAGGACTGTCTCAGAAACGATCGATGCATTTCCTGAAGAAACCCAGTGACTTGAGAAGACAAACGTCTTCTCGTAGAGTGGAAGGTAGGAGGAACGCAGAGCTGGGGTACAATCGAGGGGAAAAGTACGTTCTAGTTCTCATGTCTGGATCTGCTGTTTCTCCTTTTGGTAACGAAGCTGCAACACTGTAATGGATCATATCCATAAATGAATATCGCTGTGAGCAGCTGTCTGCAGTTGTACTTGATTCTCTGTTTTGATTCTGTTCATGACATCATAAGTAAACCTGGCTGTAATCGTGTGTGTGTGTGTGTGTGTGTGTACAGGTTTAATATATATAAAGGGTACATAAATTCCCTACGTGTATTGTTTTTATCCTTTCTCTTCTGATACCCGCTTTGTATAGGGCATTTCCTGAACATTAATAAACAGCTGGAATTAGTCATATGACTAATTCGGCCACGAATTCCAGAAATGCTCTGTGCATCAACTATTATCACTTATCAATTTTGGTTTAGTTTCAACGTGTGACTATTTCACCTTTTTTCAAAATCTGAAACTTACCTGGTAAACAACCGATGATTTATTCAGAAAACTGGAAAGAGCAAAAACTCCTGCCACATCTCGATGGTTTCTATATGCTAAATGCATCGCCATGCAGCCTCCCATAGAAAATCCTCCTAAAAGAAGCAAAAATTCACTTATCAGAGTCGCGGGACATATGCGACAATAACTTAAAACAAGCTATGCCTGTGCCAGTCTTCCATAAACATTTAAAAAGTATGTGGAGACCTTAAAAGAGATAGAGCGCTACAAGGTTATTAGTCCACTTTGGAACTCACTAGGAAAGAGCTGCTCTGAGTAAGTCATGCCGTCTCATCCGCGTCACCACTGGCGATAGATTTGTAATAAAAGGAGCTCGAATCGAACAAAGAAATCATATTTATCGAGTAAAAATATTTATCATAATTCAAAATACGAGTCAGAGTACAAGTGTTATTTATTTAAATTTCTAGTGTTTACTTATATTTTGTTTCTAATGGTGAGTCCTCCCATTGCGACTAGAATCGATAACATGCACAGTCTCTCTTATTTGCCAAACTATAAGATCCATGAGGAGCTATATTTCTAGTGCCCGCCATAAAGTAGACATTTAGTGATCTTTGAGTTAGGAAACATGCTCGAAAATTTGGTTAGCTAGTTAAAACATTTTTGGAAACTGACGTGATAGTATAATTAAAACATATATACTTATATAAACTTGGAGAAAAGTTTTAAGAAACTGATTTACACCATTTGCCAAACCTTATTATCTTTTATATGCCAAACACTGTGCTAGTCAGTGGAGATATACAGATTAAAAAACATGAATCCGTGCTCCGTTGGGCAGCACATACACGAAAACACACGGGTAGACTCGTGTTTGAAGGAGAAACAGGGATGTCATAGAATGTGGAGACAGGTACGTGATGCCACGCAGCAGAGAGGGTGGCCCAATTTCAGGTTAGAGACCTGGTATAATATTCCTCAGACTGATTGAGAGTTAAAAGACATCTCATTTCTATTTCGTGAGAAATACACTTGCGGAATTATAAAAATGGACTTTGGTGTAGAATTTGGACCTCTTAATTTCCAGTCTCATGCTTTATTTCAACTAAGAAAGCATAAAGCTGAGCCCTTAGAGACCATGCCTTTGGATTGACTACAATGTCCTTTTATAAATGAAGGAAACTGAGGCCACAGGGGATTAGGTGACCTGCTTAACTTGGACCCCTGATTTCAGCTGTAAAGCTAGGCCTTTTGGAATCCAGATTGCTTGCAACAGAGTTTAATGTACTTCCTACTACCCACTGATATCTATTAGAACAGAACTACTTTATCTGGGCTGATATTATTTTGGACCCAGGGTACAAATATATGAATGAAGATTAGCAGCCTGGAGAAGTTTAGAAGTTAAGAAAGGGCATAATATGTAAATAATCACAGTGTATGATAAATAATACATCTGTGGTTTTCAACATATCAAAAACAAATAATAGGGCCTCATCAGTAGCAGTAGTTCACCATGGATGAGAACAACTTAAAGGTTCTCTCCAAATAACCCCACTCTACTCCGATGCGGTTC